TCAAGATTTTTTTGTCAACATCAACATTTTAAGGTGATATTCATTATTTGATCAAGGTTTGATCATGAATCCTCAAGGGAAACCCTAAAATCATCAAAGGTCAATAATTTCCAAATTAGGGTTTTGATTGAAGTTGACTGATCATTGACTTTTGGCCTAGTGCATGAACTAATGGCTTAAAGCATGATCTCAAGGGCTCAAGTACAACATTTTGACCTAATTACATGGCTCAAGACATCTCCAAATATACAAGTATTTGATAGTTGAAGAATTGAATCAATTGAATGAAAAGTCAACAGTCACACAAAAGTCAAACTTTGACTTTTGGTCAACATTGGAATTCAAAAATCAAGAATCATCAAAACATTCAAAATTAGGGTTTTGACTAGGAAAGGGCAATTTCTGATTTTTGACCTAGAAAATGGTCAATTGGTTTAAAGCATGATCTCAAGAGTCCAATTGCATCATTTTGACCTAATGACATGATTCAAAACATTGCAAATCCATTAGATTGACAAATGAATTTTGCAGTCAACTGATCAAAAGTCAACTGTATACTAAAAAGTCAAACTTTGACTTTTTGGTCAAATTTAAGCACCAAAGATCACAATTCATCAAAACATGTCAAAATAGGAAACTTATTCATCAATAAATCAAGATTTCATTTTGAAAAGTCAAAATTTCTAAACTTAGAAATTTTTCTAAGTGTCAAAAATTTCTTATTTTTTCATAACTTTGAGCAATTTTTCATTATGATGCAAGATGATTCAAAGGAAACTTCCAACATGAGAGTTGTAGATCTCCATGAAATATACAACTTTTATTCACACAACTTCTCCTAAAAGTTCTTGGATCTCAAGTTATAATTTTGTGAATACATGTTCATGAACTAAAAAAAAAGACTTAGTGAAATTTTGCCCTAGTTAGGCAGATTTTTGACATAACTTCATGGTAATTTTTCATATAGTTTCAAGGGGAATATTCAAAAGAAATTCAAAGATGAGTTGTAGATAACATTTCAAGATTTCCAAAATGTCCAAGAACTCCTTGAGATCATTCTTGAGTAGGGAGAATCGAAGAGATGAAGTTGGTGTTTTGTCACTTGAATTATAGGTCATTTTCATGATGAACACAAATGCAAATCAATGTTAGGCTGCATAATCTTTGCTTTTCAGGCCTCAAACTTGTTTGTCACTCCATAATTAATAGATTACACAAACGTTTGAGCTATAATCCAAGTGATTTAAGCTTTATCCAATTCACATTGTCATTTTGGGAAGAAAGTTAACAATACCATTCTTGAAAAGCAAGTTTTATGCATAAAGTCCACTCTTGAGCCTTTAACTTGTTCCCTCTGATCACACTTCATCTACAAAGTCAGAAGCAAATGTGTTTAAAGCATAACCACTCTATCTTAGCAATTACACAAGGCATTGAAACTTTTTTTCTCAAAAAATCACATGTTTAGCTTAAGGATGCAAATTCAAATTCTGATCAACAACAAGTCACTAAACTTGTTGCTTATAAATAGAAACACTATTTGTGAACTAGGACACGAGCTTGAAGCCCCTGAAACTCACTTAAACTCCCTCTAATCAGAAATTGTCTCAAAATACCATTGTTGTGCAAGTTCTAACTTTACATACCAAGCTCCAAATCCCCTCGTGCGTTCTTTGGCCTTTCACTTCCAAAAGCTTCTAAACATCAAATACAAACCATCCAAAGTTCATTTGCTCAACTGTAACACCTCCATCATCAAGTTCCATTTTCAAAAACAGGGGTCTGCAACTTGACTTCTCCAGAGCTCCTCAGCCACTTTCAGCTCAAGCCAACCATTGCATTAGCTTCCTAGAGGTCCAAGGAAGCTAACCTGATCATCAGCACTGCCTGAAACAAGCTCAAATCCATTTCACGATTTCCAGTTTTTAGGTATTTTTCTTGAACTTATATCTCATTACTTAGGCATTGTTAGGCTTACATTTGTGAAGATAAAATGTAGACCTCATTGCCACGAAGTTGTACATATCCATAGTTTGCATTTACATGGCCTGAGCTTAGAGAATTTTAGAGTTGAAGTTTCTGAAATTTTTAGGGTTCAAATTAGGGCCAGAGAAATTCTCATTTATCTTTGACTTTTAGCTTTAGTTATTTACATGGTTAGATTCGTGAGGAAGAATGCAACAACTTTCATTTTGTCATCTTCCATTTTTATTGAGAAATGAAGAAGTTACAGGTATACCGGCTGGAGGTTGAAGATGAAGTCATCAGGACTTGATTTACCTTACATATTTATTGTTTTGTTTATATAAACGGATGTATAGCCACCCTGATGGTAAAGCGCGGGCCTGTTCACCCCATGGTCCTGGGTTCAAGCCCCAGCATGACCATTTTTATATTTTTTACATATTTTTGACATTTTTTGATTTGTTTGCAGGCGCCAGGCCCTTTGGGCCTGGCTCTTTTTTTTTTTTTTGCTGATTAACCCCCTATTTCACTTATACGCCCCTGACCCAGTTTTGTTTTATTTTATTTTATTTTCTTAAATATTTTTTCTAATGTTAAAAAATCATTAAAAAATATAAAAAAAATTAGATTTTTATTTTAAATTAGTTTATTTTATTTTTCTCACAAAAAATATTTTTTTTAACTATACTTTATTTATTTTTTACTAACTAGTTTTGTAAATTTAATTTAAAACTAGGTTATTATTTATTTTCTTTTACACTAATTAAAATATATTTACTTTAATATAAAAAAGGCAAAAAATATTTTACAACACCATATATTATTTTCAAGACAATAATACAAAAATACTTTTCTTAAACTTAATTTACTTTAGTCCATTAATAGACTTAGGGTTTTATTTAAAATCTTTTCTTATTAAATTAAGTTTACTTTCATTATTTTAATTAATTATTTTCTTGTAATTAATTAGGTTAAACAAAAAAAACCTTTTCTCATAAAAATCCAAACAAAAGGTCCATTTTCTTTGCATTTTACATTCTTGCATATTCATTTTTGTACATTTATTTCAATTAATGTATAAATTCAATTTGGTTGTAATAGACTAATTAGGGTTTAATTTCTTGCAATCCCCATTTATAAATTTTATACCTCCCCACAAATGTTGTAATAACATAGTAACTTTAAATTTTGCAATTTATCGCTTTCATATATACAATGCTAGTAATTAGGGTTTGTATGGAAAGACTAAAATCAATACTTAGTAAAACCCTAATTCAAGACTAAATCAAGCATGAAAAACAATGCATTTGCACACAAATACCCCTAGAGTAAACTCCACTTGGTTGCCTTATACAAAATGGCCATATTACGCATGTAAGGTATCTTAGCAAAAACAAGCAAATACAAGATCATAGTCCCTTGATGGCGCTATCTAAGTTGTCTTACCAATGATCTTAGTCCCTAAAAAAGAATGCTAAGACACCTTACAACATTGCTAATCATGGCTATACGATGACCCACGTCCGTCCCGTTTACATCCAAAGATAGGGTTGCTTACCAAATCAATGGTAAGACAACAATGTCAAAGGAAAAGAAAATGAACAAGAAAGACATTTGATTAGGTAGATTGCTCCTAATTACTTGCTCAATTTCAAACAAAACATCATTGCTATTTTCAAAACAATCACATACACTTTCAAACATCTTACAAAATTGAAAACATTTTCAAAAGATCAAACATCTTTGTATACATTCTTACAAACAAGAATCATTACAAAGATTGTCTAAACAATGACCTCTTTACAAAATACTTTCAAAAACCACACAAAACACAATTTCAAACAAAAGCAAGTGATCTAGCAAGTAACTAAGAGCCCATGGAAAACCATGGATGAAAATGGTGCTAATACATTCCCTTTTCATAATCTATCCCCCGAACTCAAGAAATAATCTTAAAGGTCTTTCTTGTGCTTTTTCACCTTTCCTTTTGGATAAAAGAAAAGTCGATGGCGACTCTTGCTAACCGCAACATTTACGATCAAACGCAAAATCCTTAAGTCAGTTCTCCCACCGTATCACACATTGCTAAACCACCCTCAAAGACTCTTCCGATGCCGTAAATAAATCATAATCATTTTCAATCGCATTCCGCATGACATTCTTCCATTCGTCACTATATAGGTGTAGCATCTTAAGATGAGACACCAAACGAGAAATAACTTTACTCTCATCTCTATCATCGGGGCAACAATGGAATCTTGGAAATTGACAATGTAGAACTCTTATTTGAATAGAAATCATTAGACAATGTAAAATTGTACCCCTCCTCTACTCAAAGCAAAATATGTCTAGTTGGAGAATTTTATCAAACACATGGCGGATGACAACGAAAGAGCATTTCGCCCTGATTGTCTTGGTGTCTTGCTTTACCTCATTGAAACATAAAGTCCAATTTTTAAAAGATTGTAATTTGTTTGTTAATTTTCAAGGAACCAATAGTGATGATGGCTGAAAAATGAAATCACGGTTTTGCTTGGTTGATGAGAGTTTCTCTTACAGTAGCGAAACAGCGGAACTTAGAAGGAAAAGCTTTAGATTTTTTAGGCTGAGATATTAACTTTAATGGATTGAAACATTGTTAATGGTTTTAGTGGACAAGATACATCGGAGGAGAAGTGTGTGTGTGTGGGGAGGGATGTTAAACCTGGAGCTTCAGAAAAAAAACAAAAAATGGAGAGGATATTAGACCCCTAAAATAAAGTGTATGCAAATTCACACACTAACAAGAACAAAGATAAAAGTAGATAATCAATACAAATAATTTATTTACTCAGTTTGATTCACAATAATATACTCTAAGGAAGATAGAAGTTCTTCAATCCACTACCAATCAAGAGTGTCATCAAGATATTACAAATGATTTATAAATAATTAGCTCAACAAATTCATAAAAATATTTCATAATTTTCATCCATTTGAGACTTGATCTCCTCCTCTCAATACTTAGAAAGTGTTTTTCAACCCTTAGATTACAATCAAAGATCGTCCATATTATAAACTAGTCCATAACCAAGAGGGAATAAAGGATCATCACATGAATTCACTCCCTCAACAGATTGATCAAGCTGCTCAACTCTTCTGAACCAAGTCATTGGTAGCTTACCTTTGAAGTCATGATCCCCAAATATAACATCTGTTATCCCCTTTCCTTCGGTACCGGGCAACCACGCCGCAACAAGAGCTTCTATCTTTTCCAAAAAACTTTGTTCCAAGACCAAAGGTCTTCCGGATATCAAAATCACAAGTGTTGGGATTTTATCAGAAACTAAGTCCACAATTCCAGCTCCATTAAATGGGATTACAAGTTCTGAATTGTCACCTCCGCACTCAGCGTAAGGAGCTTCACCAATGGCAACAATAGCAAAAGAAAATTCATTGCGTTCTATGAATTCTGTTGATGGCCATTCTTCATATATAACTTCTGTTTCATGTCCCACAGCTTCTTTAACAGCATCCAAGACAGTTGTGCCTGAGATTGTAACAAAACTATAATCAGAAAATGAAGAAATATTTAAATAACAAATGAAAAAGTCAGCAAAGACTTTAACAAAAATTGTTTTGATGATATCTTTAACTTTGATTGGTTGTACGGATTGGTTTTGTGTACTCGCGCAAGAGTTGATATGAACTCTCTAAAGCAGCATCAAGTTTTTGGATATCCTATGTACATTAGTTACAGTTCAACCGTGACAAAATAATTTAGGACTCTATTAACCATGACAAATCTATTATAAGGCCATATTCAACTACAAGTTAATCTTGAAAATTTTGAGACTCTGTGTTGTAGTTTATCTTACACACTCTTAAAGACGGTTTTGTTGATGAATAATGGATAATGCTAGCAAGAAGAAAAAGGATAGTAAAAGCTCAAGGGATTTATCACGAAGGCAAGTGCTCCGGCGGAAGCTGCTATGGGTTCCTTCACTTATATGTCGCTCAGCAACGATTTTTTATTCAATGTGAAACAAAACTCTTCGAAAAACAAACAGAAAAAAAATGCATACCAATTGTGATCTGGCCACTAGATCCATACTTAGTACATGTCCATCCTCCACATTGATAACCTATATCATTAGCATGAGTTCCAGCAATAAGGATTCGCTTGGCACTCTTGTTCAACGGAAGAAAAGGCTTACTAGGATCCTTTCCGTTTTTCAACAGAACCAAGGACTTTCGAACTGCTTCGCGTGCTAGATCTCGATGCATCTGTCAAAACAATTTGATGGATGATAAACAAGCTACATAGATTATAAAGATATTTCGGTATATTATTCCAAACAAGGTGAACTTCACTTACCTTGCATCCTACGGTATCCAGCAAAGACCTGTCAGTTAGAGGAAATTCAAAAAGTTGGGCAATAAACTTCACTCTTAAAATCCGCTCAACGGCATCATCAATCCTAGATATTGGCACTTCCCCTGATTGAACTAGATACATCAACTCTTCCATGAATTTTTCATATCTTAAAGGAACCATCACCTGCAAGTGTTCACAAACTTACATCAAGTAATCTATGTTAAAATATCATGGGATTTGAAGATCTGTACCATGTCAATTCCAGCATTAATAGCAGTTGAGATGCAATAACGATAATCCGATCCATACGGTTGACACAACTCATCAATTCCCTCCCAGTCAGAAATCACAAAGCCCTACAGTGAAGCATTGGTCTTAACAAATTGCTTTAATACAAAACATCCTTTCAACTATGTTCTGCAGTACCTTGAAGCCTAGATTTTCTTTCAAAACTTCATTTATCAGAAAATGGTGACCATGGAGTTTGACTCCGTTCCAGCTGGAATACGAGATCATAATGCTTGAAACTCCCTGATCTATGCAATCTACATACGGAGTCATGTGGATCCTCTCCAAGTCTTGATATGATAATATAGTATTCCCCTCATTTACACCTTTTTCTGTGCCTCCATCTCCGACAAAATGTTTGGCACAAGCAATAACTTTGTTCCTGAAGTACTAATTAGGTTGTAACGAAATTTCTTAAAACATCAAATTGTATAACGAATATGGAAGTTATATATTGATACCTCCCAGCCACAAATGGGTATCCCCTTGGATGTGTTTGTGGAGGCTTGCCTTGCAGGCCAGAAACTAAACAAGTCATTTTTCTGACTATTTCAGTGTCTTCACTGTAACTTTCATAGCATCTTCCCCATCTTGGATCTTTGCAGACCTGTAGGGTCCATTCAAACATGATAGTCAGTTCTACATCTTCTGTTTATCTATTTGCTAAGCAGAAAACTTGGTTACATTAATGATCTATGAAGCACGGACACTGATACTGACAAGAACACGTCTTTTTTTTCTCCAGAGATTATGATGCCTTACCGCGACACAAGGAGCACAAGTAAAGTGAGTTCCACTTGCTCTAAGTTCAAATGAAGTTGCTGCTCCAATTCTTTCAACTAAATCTGAATCTCTACAAGCACATTACACAATGAATGAAGAATCAAAGATACAACAAAGTATATAGAAGAAACACAGTTTAATGTACCTTGTAGCTCCTAGTGCAACATTGTGAGGAAAGATGGTAGTACCATAGACATTATTATTACCATGAACAGCATCAGTACCATAAATGATTGGTATGCCTAACCGTGATTGAAGTGCCAAATTTTGAAAACCGTCCACCATATCAGCCCAATCAGATGACACTTGTTTATCAGAAGTTGCACTGTTTGATGGAGCACAGAACACACTCCCAATGGTGAAGTGTTGAATGGCGGAAGGAGTGGTAACAGAACGTTCAATTTGAGTCATTTGACCAATCTTTTCTTTCAAAGTCATAAGAGAGAGAAGGTTTTTGATGCGAGCTTCAATGGGTTCGGAGGGATTCATGTACGCGGGATCCATGTAACTAATTGGATCTTGCTTGCTATATTAACTATGATGTTTGTTAATTTGGTTGCAGTTTTTGTTTCAACAAAAACAACCTTAATTTATGAACTTTGTTCTTGGGCGCACATTTTAGTTAAATATTTGCTTAAAAAAAAAAACTTTCGGCAGCATGTAAGTATTTAATTACCGAAGGTAGTGAATTTTCTGGCGCAGCCACCACCTCAAAAGGATGAAAATTAATATAAAAACTAAGAGCATAATTATCTCTATTGCTTTCACGTTTCTTTATTGAAGGTGTTTTTATTCAATCAGTCCTATATGGCTTATAGTTATATGTTAGTTAATATAATGATTAGTGTTAAGAAAAACAGGATATTCGAAGCTAATTTTGTTAATATTTGTGAACTAATATGATGATAATAGTTAATAATCTAGTTGGAATATCAAACTAAGAGAAAATGGATAAGAAAGCATAATAGTTCTCTTATGTCTTTCAAAGTGAATTGGTGTGTTTTTAGATGAATCAAAGGGGGTGTATTTATACTAGTAGAAATATTATTATTATTATATTAAATAAATAATTGGTATTATTATTTTATCTTTAACAAATTATACATTATCAATAATTTGTCATTATTGTTTTAAGTTTGATAATTTAGATAGATTTTTCTAAATAATAATTATAATAATTTTCTCAATTATTTTAGCACTCCTCCTTTGAAATATTTATTATGGTGCTCCATTGAAGTCTTGTTGAGGAGAATCTTATGAAAACATAAATTGTCTCGTTAAAAACTTTATTAGAAAAAATTCATTGGGATAAAACCTTAATAAGGGAAAAAGAGTACAACATTATGCTCCCTCTCAATAGAACATATTTAGTTTTTCTTTAAAGATCTCGAAGGCGCCACATTCCAATATTTTGTACATGATTATTGAAAACTGATGTAGGAAGTTCCTTTTGTTAAGATAAGTCAAAGATATTTTAGCTAAATTAAGTAGGAAAATATTTGTGATGTAAATAATTTATTTCATTCCCTTAATAGAAGAGGAATTATAGGGACTCTTTTGTGTATATATAGTACCTTGATCAATGAATAAAATCATCAGAATTATTACTTTGAAATGTTCTATATGGTATCAGAGCCAACACCGTCACTCTTTCAATATAGGAACGGTGATTTTTTTATTTCTTAGTAATTTCTGATGGCTTATGATAAAAACAAATCGGAGAATTCTGGAACTTCCGCTGTTGTCCAATTCAACGATGCACTCACCCCAGAACGGCTTGACGGCACTAACTACGTCGAATGATCGTTGAATGCACAGAACAAAATCAGAGGCAGAAAACGATGGGGTTACGTTACCGGACCAAAGACTGCACCAGTAAAAGATAAACCCGATGAATATGAAGCATGGAAGATGAAAATTGCTTGGTCAAGTCTTGGCTTCTTGACTCCATGACCAAAGAAATCATATATCTTTTCATTCGCTTAGCTACGACGAAGGAAATTTGGGAAACTGCGAAACAAAAGTACTTCGTCGACCAAGATGCATCAAGAGCTTATCAATTGCATCGTGAGGTAATCTCTACTCAACAAAATGGTGGATCTGTTATTACATACTTTGGAAAATTGCAGAGGCTATTGTAAGAGTACGATAGTATTAATAATTGTATCACGGAATGCACTAAAGATGTTGAGAAATATAATAAAATGGTTAATTCTCAATGAGTTTATGTTTTATTGTCTGGTTTGGATTCACATTTGGATGGAGTTCGTGGTCGTGTTCTGGCTACCACTTCGCTTCCTAATGTTCAATCAGTCTATGCAATTGTATGTGCAGAGGTGAATCGCCAAGAAGCTATGCTAAGCGGTGAGTCTTCGAATGGTTCCGCCTTAGCTGTCAAGAAGTATCCGAAGAAAGAAATTTGCAAGTGTAATCACTGTAATGGAGATAATCATGTCATGGAGACATGTTTTAAGCTCCATGGCTACCCGGAGTGGCATCCAAAGGGAAAAACTACTTCGAATAATAAGACAGAAAACAACAAGGCTCATCTTTCTACTGCTGCCGGCTTCATAACCAAGTCAGGTATGTCTAACTCTGCTCATAATCCTTCTGTTATTATTAGAAATAGCGATTGGATAATCGATACAGGTGTTACTGATCATATGACTTGTGATCAACACACGTTTACTAATTTCTCTCCTAATTGTCATAAAAATTTTATTATTACTGCCAATGGAGTGGAATCTCCCATTGAAGGTGTTGGTACAATGACTCTATCACCCTCCCTATCAATACCTAATGTCTTATTTGTTCCTACCTTGAATTGTAATCTTATCTCTGTCAGTAAATTAACAAAATCACATTCATGTGTCGCTATGTTTTATCCAACCCACTGTGTTTTTCAGGATATACATACCAAGGAGAAGATTGACAGTGGTAGATATAGTGAAGGGTTGTATTATCTTGAAAAAGTTTCACAAATCCATAAAGGATCATTGGTTCATCTTGCAAGTGATCACATACAAGATCAAAATAAAAAAATATTTGGCTATGGCATAGACGATTGGGGCATCCCTCTTTTAGTTATCTAAAAAAATTGTTTCCATCGTTATTTCATAAATGCAATATTTCAGATTTTCTTTGTGAAACTTGTGTTATGGAAAAAAGTCATCGTGCTATTTTTCCCTTGAGTAATAAGAAAACAGACTTTCCTTTCTCTTTAGTACACACTGATGTTTGGGGTCCTGCTCCACAATCTACACATAATGGAAAAAATGGTTTATTAGTTTTGTTGATGATTGTACACGGGTAACCTGGGTATATTTGCTACAACATAAAAGTGATGTGTATGATGTGCTTCGCTCCTTTCATCAAATGATAGTAGCCCAATTTAACACATGTATTAAGGTAATTAGATGAGACAATGGAGGGGAATATTTTAAGAAAGAATTAAAAGATTTTTTGAACTCTAAGGGCATTTTGCATCAAACAACATGTCCTTATTCCCCCCAACAAAATGGAGTGGCCGAGAGGAAAAATAGACACATATTAGAAGTTACTAGAACACTCCTAATTGATGGTAATGTTCCATCTCATTTGTGGGGCGAGGTTGTGAATTCAGCAGTTTACTTAATTAATCGAACCCCCTCTAGTGTGCATAACTTTAGAAGACCTCTAGATGTTTTATCTGATCATCATGTTCTTCCTTCCATTGTTCATTTACTACCTCATGTTTTTGGATGTGTTATATATGTTCACTTACACCCACATCAATGTACAAAACTTAAAAAACGAGCTCTTAAATGTGTCTTTGTTGGGTATGGATCAACTCAAAAAGGGTATCGTGCTTATCATCCATCATCTAAAAAAATTTATATTTCAATGGATGTAACTTTTCATGAAGATAACTTTTTTTATGTTGATTCTACACTTCAAGGGGGGAATGAAAGTGAGGTGCAGCACCATGATGTTAGCATGTTTGACTTATTTTGTGAAGATAAATTATCTTGTGAGGATCATTCTGCAGGTAATGAATCAATCTCAAATATGGACACATCACCTTTAGATAATACAGCTTCCCCTGACGATAATCAACTAGCTCAATCTTCTCCACAAGATCAAGTTAACTCTCCAGAGGTATTTCCTAATTCTATTCCCGATAATACAATTATCAATGGAGTTGATACTAATGTTCATTCTAAAGTAGGTACTAATGTTCATTCTGAAGTTGATTCCTTTTCTCATGAAATTGACCCTAGTTTCCATGAGACCACCAACACACCTAACACTGAATCCATTATTGTCCAATATAATCTTCCACCTCGTTCTAACCGTGGTCAACCTCCCATTAGATATGAACCAGACCTTCAGTCCAAAGTTAAATATGCCATTAGTAATTGTTTACCTTGGTATTTGGTAAACAACCGCTGATCCTCCAAATGGTTACTTATTTGGTTACTCGCAGGATCGATCAGATTGATCCTAGGACATAGGTTGATTTTGAAGTTTGATTAAATTGGATATTGGTTAAATGACAATAAAATAAAGAGGCTTTAAGTAAATTGCATGAAGAAAGGACTTGGTAAAATAAATAAGGCTTTAAATGAAAGGGTTCGACAGGAAAGTAAAGAAGAAAGCAAATAAATTTCTGGGAAAGTAAATGACTTTGATTAATAAAGTTGGTGTTTCACACATACATTTCTCAACAATTCTTTCTCACACGCTGGGTACTCGAATCTATATGAGTGACTTTGTATAGAATTGTGAACACACGCGAGAAACTACATGACTACTACTATTTATACTAAAACATCCCAAGTAACCGTCGGGCAGTTACACTGCTTCGAGATGATTCCACTTTGCACGTTCTCAACGTTCGACGCTCCAGATCTTTGCACGTTGCACTTGGTAACCGTTGGAAACCGTTTTCCCTCCAAACGCTTGAATTTCAAACTGTTCCACTCTGAACCATCGAACACCTTCGTCGAGAAGCATCTTCGACGAGAAACTCCTTCGACGTCGAAGGCAACCAACTTCTCCCTTGGAAGAAATCTTTTAAGTACCTTGCCATCCTTCGATGGGCATTTCGGTGGACCTAGCTAGTCGAAAACATCCTTCAGCTTTAATGGCTGACATTAATAAAACAAGGGTGTCGAATTTAGGAGCCAACAAATTGCCCCCCAAGAATGCCTTATTTCGACTCTGAAAGAAAAAGGCATTCTTTGAAACGCCATTCGACACCTGTCTTTTCACGCTTAGTCACAAATTAACTTGTGCACTTTTTGTTGTCTTCTACCAACCACTGGCAATCCCAAGAAAACCATCATTTATCCGTACCTAAGACGTCACTTCAGTACGGCGTGCAGTGCCAAACGTCATTTCAGAATTTGTCATTATGACAATTCCCAAAAACGAGGACGCACGCTGCGTCCCTCTATTTCTGCAGAACGGCTAAAACAACAGGGGGATGCCACGTGTCCCACTATCTCCTGCAACATTAAATG